TCCGATTTTCCATATCCCTTATCCCGTAACTGAGTGTGCATACAATACAACTTACCGTAGAACTTATAACAAATCCTCGTTATTCCATGCTCACCATTCTCTTGGTGATAGGTGTCATTGCATAGGCGGGTGTTACTTGATGGTTCCCGTAAGCTGTTTTGTCATGTAGTCACTCTCCTTCGCCAGCTCCCCTTAATATATTCCATCCTGATATCTTGGAGAATGCATCAACCATGCAACAAGTGGTCACACGGGGAAAGAATGGATTATCCGGCATGCTTGGATTGTACGAATGAGGCAGAGACGGAGCTGAGAAACATATGGCTTTTTCAATGTGTGGAGAACCAAGGAGAATGAATTGACTTTCCCCAAGACAATCCTTTCCAACGGGGATCCTGCAGATATTTCTCAAATTTCTTGGGCCAATTCAACCAATAGATATATCAATACCCAGTACCTTGTCGATAGTATTTATCCTCTCAAGCCTGGTCATAACCAAGCACTTTTCGAGGCTGAAGCCCTGAACCGCAGTAAGAAGTATATGGAGTAACATGGTCTAGAATGTCTGTCGAGATCAGTAATCAACCGATATTTGTTTTTCCCAAGAATAGTAAATGTCGCTCCGCTGGCCCTCCGGGGGCCATTGCCATGGAGGCCGAGTATCTGAATTGGATGGAGATGTCAAATATGGTAATGAGTCCACGGAAAGAGTATAGACAATCTTCACAATCGAGCTGAAGTTATCAAATGGGCAAGGGAGGGGTAGATGTCAATAAAACATGGCTAGTAAGTAAGTAAGATCTTGCCTCTATATATCCAACCTTTGACTCGAATACCCAGGGAGCCAGGCTCGAGCCAGGTACTCATCAGGTGGGTCTACATGCTGGCATGAATATATTATCAACCCCTTGGAACATCATCGACCCTGAGAATCTGAAGAAACCAATTATATCTTCAGAAATCATCCAACTTGAGGATTTGACGCAGGGAGTTCGGTGAGGTTACATGCTAAAAAATACTAAGAAACACTAAAATGATGTTTCTAGTAGCCGCTTTTAGCGTTGGGGAGTTTTTCCCAAGATTTTACACGTTACAAGAGATTCGAGAAACATCATCATCCAAAACACAATGCTACCACGACCGACTACTTATCTACTGGGTGGCATTCATCAAGATTTGAAACAAAAAAAGCAAAACTCCTAACTATGCCATCATTTTCCATCCTTTTCATCATGCATACGACATCATTACACTAAACGCCCTACACGACATGGCACCTTTTATAACCCCCAGCAACCTCTTATAAGAACTCCTGAACACAAACACAACACTGGTCCGGCTTTCTTGAAAGTTGTAACAGTCAGTGGCTGGTCACTCAACTCTTTTCATTCCATTTCATAAATATTTTCTATTTCCCAGTCCCGAACGTACATACATACTTTATTAGACTGCGACCCTTGTGACAGCGGGACAGCGGCAAAGATACCTAGCACACACGCACACAGTCCTTCCTGGGAAAAAAAAAGTCTGCATATTCGTACCCTGTCGATCAATTGAATCCTGGGAACAGGGCACTCCCACCCCCTAGGGTCCATCATCATCATAAACGGAAAAAGGTCCTCTATTCGCTTGTTCACCCGGAACCATCCAATTATATTCCTCAATTCAAAAGTGGCCGTGAAGGCGGTCGGTTTGGAGTACGCAACAGTCAGTGGTACTGCATTTCGGGAACGGACTTAGGGATTTCCATCAAATGGCTTCGCGGGGTTGATAGCACTCAGACATTACACATGACAGACGCATAACCTCCATACTCTTCTCGAACCAATCCAGCCTATTCTTGTCCTTTGTCATCGACGATCTCCTTCAAAGGACTAGGTATTCTATCACCTCAGTTCAATGCAATTACCATGTCCAATCACCATACAAATATAGTACCACATACATCTAGCTCCATTTCTATATAACCTCCCTAGTTTCCCCCTTTTCGATATTTTTATCTTCCATTCATCACATCACACTTTATACATATCACTTGTTGAAGGGTCAACTTCGAGTCCTTCGATTCAAATCGTCTACCCATAGAACTGAGCATCTTATTAGAGATACAAACGCCAGATTCTTCAAAATGGAGACTACTTTTATGACTATTCACAGTGAGTAAATTTTTCCTTTAAGGTTTACAATGGTGGGAGAAATGGTTCTGAATGCTTTGACTTATGGAAGAGTCAATATTTGTGGGGAAAAGAGAGGTCGTTTGAATGTGGATAATGATAATGGGAGGAGATGAGTAGGAAATCATCGGAAAAAGTTTTCTTTTTGATTTTCATTCTAAAATAACCAGAAAAGTATTTGAATGATTAAAGGTGTCATTATGGGGGCAAGCCCCCAAACCCCCTTTGCTCGCTACGCTCGAAGATCTTATTCTCATTATTAGTCGGCCCCTACGGCAGTAGCCCCCGGAGGGCCAGCGGAGCGTCATTTATTTTCTTATGATTCAAGAATGGATCATGAATTAGGCTAACGTTTACTTTTGATTAGACCTTACTCCTCAAGCCAACATTCTGTTCGCTTCAGAGTCGATCTCTGAGATTCTTGGGTATGAACCTGAGGATGTTGTGGGCAAAGCTTGGTTCGAGTATTTTGATAAGGACAACGACAATACACCATTTGCTCGTCAAGCTACAAGCCAAGGTGTTCACTTGGAAAAAGCTGCTGTTATTTATCATGCCAAAATCGCACACAAGAATAACAAATCGGATGGAAAACCTGACTGGATCACTTGTGAATGTGTTTTCACGGTTGTTCATGATGTCTTGGTTGCTTGTACAAGTCATTATAATGCAGATTCGCATGAGAATTACATGGATAGAATTCGTGGGGCTATCAGTATGATCTTGTTTTCCTCTCTGTTGATTCACATTTACTAACCATGATTTAGAAAAGGAAACTTCCAAGAGCTTGGTCAAACGTTTCACTGCTCCTCCAAAGGATTTGAGATACCATATGTTGGAAAACCTTTCCTTCAAATTTCGAGACCCAGTTACAGAAACTTCTACACGAGAACCAAGAGCCGCTTTGATCCTCAATCGTTTCACTCGAAGCTTGACAGTCATGTATTCTACCGAAGCAATTGAAAAAGTTCTTGGCATCAGTAAGGAATATATTGTTGGTAAAAGCTTTTACGAATGTATTCAACAACAATGTTTGGCCGAATCCATTGCCGCTATCGAAAGTGCCAAAGGAAACGATTCTATCGCTCATCTCATCTTCTGGTGTCGTGACCCACGTCATCCTCATGAAATCGAAGAACTCAATCAAGCTCTTGATGATGCTAGTGATATTAGTGGAAGTGAAGATGAGGATGAAGGTGATGCAGTTGGTAGAAATTCCAACTCAGCATCTTCTCCAACAACCACACGAACCGCTTCTCAACCTGGCAGAGAAGGAGTCATTCGACGAAACAATCGTCAAAGATCTGCTGCTAATCCCAGTACTGGTCAGGTTTTACCTGTCTTTCAACAAATTCAATTAGAAGCTGTTATTTCTTGTACTTCGGATGGTTTGGTTGTTATTCTACGTAAAGCTCCTGCTGCTTCTCGTGTTGATCATCAAGCTATTGCTCCATGGGGTGTTAATCCAATTGCGCCACATGTTGTTCGACCGGATCCAAATGATCGCTTTGTTCATGGTCCCGAAGCTACGGCTCTTCAACCTGGTGCATCTAAAGAAGAATCCATCAAGAGTATTCGAGAAGTCGCTGTATTTGCTTGGGCACTTTGTGGTATCAATGGAAATATTGGAGCTTATGGACGCGGAACCCCTGGTCCCAAATCTCAACCTCCAGCATTACCAGTTTGGAATCCTCATGGACCAACCGAAATGGAACCGCCTGTTAATCAAGCAGAAGTAGACTGGGCTCGAAGAATTGGAAAGAGAAAGGAAACGGGCCATTCGCTTGGTCACGTTTTTAGAGAGGAAAGAAATGAGAGAAGAGAGAAGAGAAGAAAGGTGGGGGAATTGAGACCAGATGGTTATGTTCAACATGATTATCAACCGGTTGGTCCAACTGGCTATGCTCATCAGAATAACGGGTATTCTGGTACTTCCGCTCCTGGAAATGGAAGCGGAGTGGGAAATAACGGTTATGGAAACGGACATAATGGTAATGGTAATGGTGCTCATCATTAGTATCTTTACCTACCAGACGAGCTTGCGTAAAGCAGTAAGACTTGTATCAAATGACTGGATGACGGAGAGCTGAAATGAAACGGGATCTGATTATAGGTGGGAGAGGAGGAAGGATGAATTCAAAATTTGAAGTGAGAATTTGGCGAGGCGTTGCGATGATGAGTTATTTAAACGTTCTTTTTGGGATACAGATGTTGCAAGGGGATGTTTATGATTCTTTTACGATTCAATTGGTGTTTCCCTACCAATATAAACTTAATGGAAAAAGTAGCCATAGCAATACACTCTTTTATACGCTACAACATGATTTTTATCTGATCTTTCATGAATGAATATATTGTGAAATTTACCGTAAAAATCCTGAGCATTAATAAAATGACGGGGACTGGGGAATGGATAGAGAAGCTTGGACCTCGTATATGTCAAACGGGAGATCTAACCATAAATAGCTTAGCACCATGTCTAGAATACGCAGCTCATGTTTAGCTTAAGGAAACCGTGGAATTTTGGATAGCTTCATGAACCTAGATACCTTATCGTCAGTAACGAACCACCTACCTGCGAACAATCTACACTCGTTCATCCACATTTAGAAATTTGGATTCTTTTGCGCTACGAACTGCCAGTCGATCTGCACACGGTTACAACTTCGTAAACTCCACGAAAGGCCAGTTAGTTTGCGGAGAGCTTAGGTTTGAAGTACTACTAGGCACTTCGAGTCGCAATTGCATGTACCAGTGCCTCCACTCTATCATCGCATTATCAGCACCAGTGTATCTTCGACACGACGTAATCACTAAGTAGAAATCATGGCTTCGTCTTCAAATCCTTACCAGCATTATGATCAACCTCGTGTGGAGGATGATTTGATTGATCCTGATGATGGTATGTTTATTTCGATTTATATTTCTCTGCAGATTCTCTTTGTGATTGGATGGAGGGAGGGAGTGAGTAGGGTCCAAAAGCCTACGATCATGCCATGTCCACCTTGGAGAGCGAGGGTTAATCACACTCTTATTTCTATGGCTTTCCCCTCCTTCGTCATATACTCCTGCATTAATTCCCCGCTGCCCATTCCCTCACCCACCCATCCATCTGCATCTACTAACCGGCCCATCCAGCAACCCTCGATGATCTCGACGATCCCCTAAATGCCACTACCTCCCGCACTCCCCTCACCGGAAACATTCAACAAACGCAATCCTCTACCCAATCCTCCCAAAACTATCTCACCTCCCGCATTCCAGGCGAAGATCGTCGAGCTCCCACAAACACCCTCGATGAATCGGTTTGGGAAACCCTCTCGCGCGACCTCACAGCCATCTGGTCCAAAATGCGGGAAGTGCTGTATCCGAAATATCTTTTTGGAGGTTCGATGATTGACTCTCATGGTTTACGAGGCGCATATTCGCAGTTTCGAGAAAATGGGATTCAAGGAGCGAGAGAAGAATTGAGGGGCATGATTGGAAGGGTCACGGATGTAGAGGGATTGACATCAGGAAATGCAATGAGTGAGGGATTGAGAGATTGGGATTTATGGGGCCCGTTGGTTTTTTGTTTGGGGTTGTCATTGTTGTTGAGTTTTAGAGCGAGGGGAGATCAGATGAGTAATGTTTTCAGTGGGGTTTTCGCTATGGTTTGGTTGGGGGAGGCGGTGGTGACGGTGCAGATTAAGTTGTTGGGGGGGAATATGTGAGTTTTTCTTTCTTTGTTTTTTTTCGTTTGTCTTATAACCTCCCTTCCTTTCTCATTCCCACACTCCTCCTATCCGAATCCGGCTAACCCAACCCTTAAGTTCCTTCGCCCAATCCGTCTGTATCATAGGTTATACCCTTTTCCCTCTTGTCATCGCAGCACTCCTCTCAGCACTAGGTCTTCATCCCATCCCGAGAATCCCCATTTACATTGTCCTGGTGGGGTGGAGTATGGCGGCGGGTATTAGTATCTTGGGAGGAAGTGGAGTGGTGAAGAATAGAGTGGGGTTGGCGGTTTTTCCTCTGTTTGTGTTTTATTTGATGTTGGGGGCGCTTTGTTTTATTTCTTAGAGTTTGGGAGGGGTATAGGGTAGAGGAGAAGAGAGAAGAGGATGGGGTGTGAGGGGAGAAAGAGAGGAAGTGAAATTTGTGGTTTAGGGAGAACAGAGGAGGGGAGTAAAGTGGATATGATATGAAAGGAAACTGGAAGGGAATGGAAAAGGGAAGATAGGTAGACTATGAAAATTGAGGAGTCTTTTGGTAGGAGCGGAAATATTGATATTTTACTCGTCAGTCTTGGAAATATAGATTTATGATATTTTTTCTGATGATGATTTTATGATATATGTTTGGTGATGCGTAGTTGGGAGGGAGAGGGGACGGGAGTGGGAAGTGGGAGGGAACTGGTATGTGTGGATTTGTGGGTGGGTGTTTGAAGTTTTTGTTTGTGAAAGTTTTTTTGAGGAGGGGAGGGGAGAAGGTGAGGAGGGAGGGAGGAAAGTGGGAGGATGTATGTATATATATATATATTTCCTTATTTCAATTTTGATTTTTGATTTGATTATATATGTGGTAGCGTTCGAACTTTCTCGATGGGGAAAGTGAATATGTGATTGGATTTTCTTGTTATTTTTGTTGCTGATACTTATTTCTTTATTTGTTCATTTCTATTTATCGTTATTAGATTAAATATTGCTTTTGTTATTGCTGTATGAACGTGGGTGAGTGACTTCAATTCAATGGCTACTGTATTGAGCTTTAGGCGAATGCGAAAGAGACTAGCTCTTTCAGTAGTGCCTACATAAGGCCTACTACTTTTTGTATATAACTAGTTTTTTAGATAAAATATAATATAGACAATTAGGACCTACAGTTCGCAGGTGCTACGTCTTTCGTATCCTTCTCAAACCAACAATTGCTTTTGCTTTTGCTATCTCTATTTGTATTTGTATCTCTAAGTATCCCCAACGCAAATCACATCTTCAACTGAACCGAAGTGCGAATCCTCGATGCTAGATACAGAGTTGCTCATCAAACACTAAACACTATCTCCCAATTGCCACGTCACGCAACGCGTGGGATCGGCTGGTCGCAGCTACCAGCTCCTGTATCATGGTCTAATTTGTGTCTAGGATTTGAGTTCTAGGAGAGAAAATAGAATACAATATGGTCTTGTAGAGATAGTCTTGTCGAATTTCTCCTTTGTATTCCTATGAGCGAACTCTCCTGTTTAGTGAGATGTTGGATTTTCTGTTGTATTCATGGCATTCTTGATCTTCATGCTACTTTTTGAAATCTCTAGTTCTTCACATAATCTAGATATCTAGATATATGTATATAATTCTCAACCTCAAAAAAAATCGAAAGTTCAGGTTTACTCACCACTGCAGGAATGGACATGGGAGAAATCTTTGAGGGGAAGTTAGTCGGGGGTGTGTATGTTTAAAGTTCTTTTCTGGTGTACTTGTACTTAAGAGAGAGGGGTTTGAGGAACGGGAATAGGTGTTAGAAGGAAGAAATTTTATTTGGAAGGGATTCTTGTTCTTGTTCTTGTTGTTGTCGTTGTCGCTTCACCTAGAGTAGATTTGTATTATCTTCGAATCTGGGGATCTTATTGTCAGTTGTGTGTGTGTTTTGTTGATTTCAAGATTATGGATACGGATTAGGGTTTGGAGAAGAAGAGGTAGACCATCTAATGACGGATTGGGAAGCGTAATGTAGATAGGTATGAGTTTAAGGAGATATTCTTTGGCTCTTTTCCATGTATTCATCCTGTTTGTGATTACTTGTTTATGTTGAGGCTGGATGTAGGAGAGTGGTATGTCTTCTATGTTCTTCATTCTTGATTTGTTTGACGGTCCTCTAATATGGCAGGGTAATGGATAGGAAGTGAATTATTGGTTATTAGATATCTAGCCGACTATCTACCCTCTGAGAATTCTCTCTAGGAGATACCTTATAATTCACTCGAGATCCAGTTTTCATCTCTCTCTTTTCCCTTGAGAGGAAATATACAACGACCCTCTCCCCCCTCCCACACCAACATTAGATACCATCCTGACCATTTCAAGTCAAATGCACTCCTAAGATTCGAGAAACACATATCGGCTGACGCAAACTCACAAAAAGGGAACAAACATCAACCTTTATGAATAGACTCAGAGTTTATTTCTACTTGACTAGGTAGTTACTCACTATTCATTTGTACCACTCATTAATCATTTGCGTTCTCGAGTTGTCATTTTTTCCGCCTCACAATTCTTGTCATCCTTTGATTCTTGTCATCCTTTGATTCTCATCGTCCGGTAATAAATCGTACTTTTCTGCACTTACTCTACTAATCTTGATAGGGGGAAAAACCAGAAATTCTAAAGCTAAGTCCAACCGCAATTAGCGAAGAGTTGCAATAGAACCAACCTGAAATTCTTTGACTAGGATTATCATACTAGATATAGAAAGAACGCACTAGCTCAAACTATTATTCCCTTTTAATATTCTCGACTCTGCTGATACTAGTATGCCGTGGTACCATCGCTTTGTATCGCTAGATTGTGGATGATTGGAGTAGTTATCTGTCCTATCTATGCGAATAGGGAGTTTGAAAGATACAAGTGTCACGTAAGCACCCCCTTTCTTTGGAGACTTACATGTAAGAATGCATTCATGGCCCAATTTCGGAAAATCAGCATAAAAACTATAATTCATTTTGGAATATAGTACGCGTGAATAGTGGTCGTGTCTACTCCCCGCGAGCCAAGTACTCTTCGAGATTGACCCCAAGCGTCCACCTTAATATCTGTCTCTGAACATAGATCTCTGATTTCTATATTCTCAAGTAGTGAAGAGAGGAATTGCTGTGGGTAATTTTTCATCGCTAATATGTTGATTATCATTATTCGCGGGCTATGAGATATCCACTGTCAAAATTCACATATGGAACTTCAAAATCCGTAGCTCAATCATAGTCGCCACTGTGTGCGGGGAATCTGAAGAAGAAAGGCTCGCTAGATATATAGGGAAACATACCATTGTAGCTTTCCCCATATGAGCGTAATTTCAATCTCTTCTCTCGGCTTGTGCGGCAAAAGAAATAGCTTGCTCAATTCATCTGTAATTTATATACCCCCCCCCTTCAAACATGATCCTTTCACAACTGTGATTCACATTCTAATCAAGCAACGCAGTCCCGGCCTTCGACTCAAAGATACGTTATCTATCTTGCCTCTCCAATCTCTGGGTATGAAAGAAATGAATCTCAAGGAATTGTTTCGTGTGTAATGAAATTCACTATTCAGATGGCATCGTCGAGTCATAAGCTACTCGGGAAGGTATTGAATAAAGACAAATCCAAGTTCACATGAAACTATCCTTGGCTTGTGTGGAACTTCTTTCTTACTTGATTGCCAGATTTGTCATAAGCCGCTTTCGCTGTCATTTATTACTCCTTATTCACAACCATCACTGCTCATTTCTCATCATCAATACAACAAGATTTCTTCAACCCCCAGAATCTCCTTACAATCTATCCTCACCGCAAACAAAGCATGATTCCGAAATACCAAATTCCTCTAAGGCTCTGCCAAAAGAAAGTCCATAAACTTGCTGCGCTAGTAAGGCTTTTATACCAGAAGCTCAAGCATGAGATGTTTTTTTATCTTCTCAGGTGTGAGGATCTCTTGACAGTTGCCGTAGACAAGTGAATATCTACCGGGCAAACCATGTTCTTGAGATATATATTCGCAGCTGGAAAGAGTTACTTAGCCTCATCTGCGACTATAAAATTGAAATGTTATCTGGTGATCGAACATCAACTTGTTATGGATGAGAGAACTACATCTCGAGATCTGGGAGTACGTGGAAAGGAAAGTTTAGCTTTGTATCCTGGTTCGTCGACTAAGCATCCGAATGCTATCATTCACTACCTCTGAACTTACTTAAGAAAGAAATCCAAACCACTCAAGGCGAGCGTCCTAATCATTGTCATTGTCATTCCCAGACAACCAAAAGCTGTCACCCTTCGCATGGCTCAAGTATCTACTAGAATTCATCTCTCACTACCCTCACTACCCTCACCAACCCCACTCACTTACTTTTCTAGACCAACAATCCACCCCACAAACAAACAAAGCAAAACATTTCCAAAACCCGCAATCACAACTGATCAGAGCTGAGATACTCCATCGATTGATAACTCCTCTTGTGAGTACTTCTGCGTTATGGATTTGTATGACTGATGAAAATACACAGACAGTGACATTTTATAATGATCTCGGTGATTTGAAAATGAGAAGAGTGGTATTGAAGAAGATTGAGTGAATGACTCTCTCATCTGAGATACCTAGAGATAGATACTCCACCCGGCGAGTGAGTCCTCCTCGAGTACGTATATAAGCCAGGATTTTGTCATGAATCGTTTTCATACATACACTTGATATACTTGATGGAGCTAAAAAACGATAGCGGAGATGGTCTCTTCTACCTACGCATTGTTTGTTTAGGTCATAGTAGTTGTAAACAGTATAAATTGTACACCATCGGGTCTATTCCTAGCTGAGATAAACCGATTTCATTTTCGATTCCATTATCATTGCCATTCAACAGGCTGTAGATTTGCATTGTCAATTGACAACCGCCCAACAATCAAACATGCTTTCCACTTCAGCCACTCGCTAGACATTTTGGCACGAATTCCTTCTCCTCCGACTATAAACCAAACCGGAATTCGCAATAGCAAAAGAAGTTGTCCAGCAGGATTCTTGCCCGTGCAATCAATCTCACTTTACCTCACAAATTCTCTGCACATCAAACCCAGCCAGCTGTTATATACCCACAGTTTTCACACTCGTTCCCTGCAATCCCTATAATGTCCCTGATATCAAAAATGACGGAAATTGAGTAAATACACACCCCCTTAATATCATATCATCACACTCCTCCCTCCCCCTAAGCAACAAATCTAAAGCGCCATCTGCATATAAACACTATCCTCCAACCCATCCATAAATCAGAGAACAAGCCATACAGGGCCCAGAAAAAGATATGAAAATTATCATTTAAGAATGCAAGCACAC